CAAAAAAAATATAGAACAAAAGAAAGTAAGTCATAACAATGAGATTATAAATAATATCATAGTGAAAATGAAAAAAAAAAAAGTAAAGCTAGAGATGCTGATGAAGAACTAACCACAGAGATGGCAGAACTTGCTTGAATGCTGGTGTTAAGGGCTTGTACGGAAATAATGTAGAAGTTGAGGGCAATGAGGGAAAAAAAGAGGAGTACTAACTTCAATGAGTGGTGTAAAGAAGCCATTATTCACATAGGAAATGTGTAAGGCAAAGAGATAAGAGAAAGCCAGTTCTGAAAAATGAAGCTTGGTTTTGCTTAAAAGTGTTGGAACAATCTTCTGTGTAATCTTTGTGTGAATACAAAATCAAACTAAATAAAAATAAATAAATAAAAACAACGAATCAATCCATCCTCTAACCAATATCTATGGATTCTAAGTTTATTTTAATTTTATATAATCATGAGTGTGATTACAATCATAAAATCAATCCATATAAAAACCCTAAACCTTGCATATCCAACTAATCAAAATAATTAAAATTAATCTCTCATCTTTATGTAAACATAAAATCAAACTAATATCAAACAAATAGATAAAAACAAGAATTAAACATAAATCAAGGGAAGTGGGTTTTGTACTCACAATATTATTTTGAAGATCAAAGAAATATTTAGAAAACTACTAGAGTCACCATAACAAAACCCTAATCTTTCCTTTTCTTCCTTCTCCTCTTTTGTCTTTGCTGCCGCCCCTTTCTTTGTCTTCTTTGATTTCTCTCTCTCTCTCTCTCTCTCTCACAACTTGGTCTCTCTCTTTTCCTTTTTATCTCGTAAACCTAGTTGAATACTTCTATGTTATTATATATATAATAACCTAAGAGCTAGTATAACCTAATAATATTATACTATAAACCTAAATCTCAATATATAATAGCTTAATAAACTATAATATGCAGTAAAATTTATTAATTACAACGTTAAATGCCTTAGATATCACATTAAACCTTATGTAACCACCCAATTAATAATTACATCATTAAATCTATTAAATATTACATTAAATCTCATGTAACCACCCAATTAATAATTACAACATTAAATCCATTAAATATCACATTAACTCTTATGTGACCACACAATTAATAAAGTCAAAAATAAGATAAGATAATAATAACCATAATAATAATAAATAATGACTAAAGAAAATTAGGGTCGCTACAATATACACACCTCAAAAGAATTTCGTCCCGAGATTCGATAGAAAAGAGTATTAAACAAAAAGTTTCGGATGCATATGCCGAACTTTCTCTTATAACTCCCAGGTAATATCGTTCTCATCTGCGCTCCATTGCACTTTCACCAAGTTCACTTTCTTGCGCCGCAACTGCTTTACATCTCGATTAAGAATAGTAACCGGTTGCACCACATACGTTAGATCATCATTACTCTCCAACACTTCTGGTGATACTACTTGGGAAGGGTCTTGTACACACTTCCGCAATAAAGATACATGGAACACATTGTGAATCATAGCTAAAGCAGGTGGTAGAGCTAATTTGTAAGCCACATTACTAATCATCTCAATGATTTCATATGGTCCCACAAATCTAGGTGCTAACTTTCCCTTCTTTCCGAACCATATAATACCCTTCATCGGCGAGACTTTCAAAAACACAAAATCTCCGACATTTAACTCAACCCCCTTACGTTTTCTATCAGCGTAACTCTTCTGATGACTCTGTGCAGTCTTAATACATTCCCGAATAATATTTACCTTCTCCGTAGTCTCCCTCACTAACTCTGGCCCTAACAACGACACATCTCCTACCTCCATCCAACAAGCAGGTGATCGACATGGCATCCCATACAAAGTCTCAAAAGGTGCCATCCCGATACTAGAGTGATAGCTATTATTATAAGCAAACTCCACCAATGGCAAGTGTTCTTCCCAACTACCACCAAGATCGAGGACACAAGCTCTCAACATATCCTCCAAGATCTGATTTACCCGCTCAGTTTGCCCATCTGTCTGGGGATGATAAGCCGTGCTCAAGTCTAACCTAGCACCCAAAGCATGTTGAAAACTCTTTCAAAACTCTGCCACAAACAACGGATCACGATCTGAAACTATAGAAATGGGTGCGCCATGAATTTGCACCACTTCTCGAATATATAGCCTAGCCAGTTTATCTGTAGTTCGGTGAACACTGATAGGAATAAAATGAGCAGACTTTGTGAGTCGATCCACTATCACCCAAATAGATTCATTGCCTCGCTTAAACTGCGGCAATCCACCTACGAAATTCATAGAGATGCACTCCCATTTCCAAGTAGGGATCTCAAGAGGCTGCAACAGTCCAAACGGTCGTTGATGTTCTGCCTTAACCTGTTGGCACACATAACATCGAGAAACATACTATCCTACGTCTTTCTTTATACCTTCCCACTAAAACGTTCTCTTCAGGTCATGATACATCTTAGTCCCACCAGGGTGAATGGTTTATTGGGACCTATGGGCATCGTCCATAATCTCTTTCCTCAATTCAACAATATTAGGTACACACAACCTGCCCTTGAATCGCAATCCCCCATCTGAGTCCACAGACCAATCAGTAGGACAATCATCGATCAAATCTACTACAAGGTTATCGAGCTTGCTAACAAGAAACCCATCTAAATTCTCCATCTGACGAATTTTACCCAGTAGCGTCAGCTGTACGGTCAAACTACCAATGTATGCTCTCTCAGCACTCTCTATTGGTTGAATATCATGCATCGAAATTAACTCCTAGGACTTCCATTCTTGAATCATCAAAGAAGCTATAATCCTATGTTGTTGACTAAGTGCATCAGCGACTACATTTCTTTTCCCTAGGTGGTAAAGGATCTCAAAATTATAACTACTAACGAATTCAACTCACCTCTGTTGCCTCATGTTCAAATCTTTTTGAGAAAAGAGATATTTGAGGCTCTTGTGATCTGTGCATAACTCAAAGCGCTCCCCAAACAAGTAGTGTCGCCACACTTTCAACGCAAAAATAACTGCTGCCAACTCTAGGTCATGAGTAGGGTATCGTTTCTCATGAGGTTTTAGCTGTCGAGAAGCATAAGATACAACCTTCTGATGCTGTATCAATACACATCCCGACCTAGTTCTACTCGCATCAGTAAACACTACTAACTTTTCCCCTTGTACCCTTTTTAAAGAAAAAAGATATTTAAGGCTCTTGTGATTTGTGTACAACTCAAAGTGCTCCCCAAACAAGTAGTGTCGCCACACTTTCAACGCAAAAACAACTGCTGCCAACTCTAGGTCATGAGTAGGGTATCGTTTCTCATGAGGTTTTAGCTGTCGAGAAGCATAAGATACAACCTTATGATGCTGCATCAATACACATCCCGACCCAATTCTACTCGCATCAGTAAACACTACTAACTTTTCCCCTTGTACCGGTATAGTTAACACCGGTGCTGTAGTCAACTGCTGCTTTAACTCCTGGAAAGCTTTCTCATAATCTTCTGTCCATAAGAACTTCACATTCTTGCGGGTCAACTTAGTCATGGGTACTGCAATAGTGGAAAACTTCTCTATAAATCTTCTGTAATAACCGGCTAGTCCTAAAAAACTTCTCACCTCTGTAGGGTTCGTGGGCTGCTTCCATTCTTTGACCGCCATAACTTTTTCAAGATCTACCGCTATCTCCTGATTGGACACAACATGTCCCAAAAATCGAACTTCTTTTTTCCAAAAGTGACACTTACTGAACTTAGCGTATAACTGTTGCTCCCTCAAAGTTTGCAACACGGCTTTCAAGTGTTCTCTATGTTCCTCCTCATTCTTAGAATACACCAGGATATCATCTATAAAGATAATCACAAACTTATCTAGATACGGTTGAAAAATTCTGTTCATCAAGTCCATGAAATAGGCAGGAACATTGATCAAATCAAAAGGCATTACAGGAAATTCGTACAACCCATACCGGGTCCGAAAAGCAGTAAGCGGTATACTTTCCTCTGACACACCCATCTGATGGTAACCTGTTCTGAGATCAAACTGAGAGAACATGGCTACCCCCTTTAACTGATAAAACAAATCATCAATTCTAGGTAGTGAATACTTGTTCTTGATAGTCACCTTGTTCAGCTCTCTGTAATCTATGCACATACGGAGAGTGCCATCTTTCTTGGAGACAAAGATCGCAGGTGCTCCCCACGGGGAGTTACGTGAACGAATGAACCCTTTCTGAAGTATCTCTTCCAGTTGCTTCTTCATCTCCACAAGCTCTTTAGGCGCCATTCTGTATGCCGCCTTAGAAATTGGTACAGTTCCTGGCACTAGATCAATGCGAAATTCTACTACCCGTCGAGGAGGAGGTCCAGGTATCTCCTGAAATACATCTTCAAACTCACGCACCACATCTACCTCACTAATGTCCTGCTTAGGAATTTCTACCGAGCACAGAAAACTCGTCATCACCGACTCTTCTCCTTCGCTATAAGTGTGGGTAAGCCGTGGCATACCGGGAATATCTATATTTACAGTTCTTCCAGCATAATCTAGAGTTACAAAGTATTTTCGCAGCCAATCCATACCCAAAATAATTGTGAACCCTTCAAACCGTAACACAATTAGGTCTACATGCAAAACTCTACCCGCAAAATCAATCTCAAAATCTTTACACATCTCATAAAGAGTAACTGCCCCTCCTAAAGGGGTCTCAACACGAATAGGTCTAGATAAGGAGGTAGTTACAATATGTTCTCTTTCTACAAACTGTCTAGATATAAAAGAATGAGAGGCACTAGTATCAAAAAGTACCCTAATGGGTTTTGGAAAAAGATTAAAGATACCTTCCAGCCATCACTTTCAAGTTAAACACACAAAAAGAATTCGTTCAAAACTACTTAGAATAAACTTAACCACCAAACTAAACCAGCTAACCCATATTTCCACAATCCGAGGATCACCTAAACTCTCACAAGTCTAGAGTAACCTAGAGCTTTGATACCAAACTGTCACACCCCAAAATTTGGACAATTAAATATTAAATTAGGACTAAACCCCAATCAATATTCCATCATCCAAATCCTAGGGGTGAAACAAAAAAAACTAAAACGCCAACCAAACCATCTACCATAATCTCATAACTATCAAATACCTCCAACATTAAAGTAGCAACAACTAGTCAAAACAACTTAAATAAAGTACGGTTACAAACCATGCCAAATTATTCCAATACTAAAGTCATAAAAAAAAATAATAAATACATGAACTACTCACAACCCTAAGCTCAAAAAACAAAAGAAGTCCAAACGACATGCCCTACGATCATAGTTATTTCTTGTCACCACTATAGCCTCAACTAATCCTGTAAAGGAAACTCAGCTGCGCTCAAACAGAACGCACCCGAGTTGTCAAGAGACAAAACGGGTCAATATATAGGTATACTGGTATGAGTACAAGAATTGACACCCACGTGTCCACCAGACACAGACAAAAATACATTTAATTCTTATTCCAGGATAAGACAAGTAGTTCTAACCGCACTGAGACGAATGGGTAGTTTCTCGAGATACGGTGGCGTTTAGTTTCTTGTCCGTATACAACGAAATATAAATTTATTATAAAATAAACAAAATAGAAATAGAAATATGGTGGGTCAGCCCTGCATAAAAAGTTAATAAGACTCACCATCCTGTAAAAAAAATAATGTTAGTATAAATTAATCATAAGTAACTTGCTGAATACGTATAAAAATGCACCGTTTCCTGCTTAAATAATTTAAATTGACCAAAACTCAAAGAACGAAAGTTGTACAAAATTAAATTTCCTAAAAGACCACGTGAAAGAATTTAACATAAACTGAATAGGTTGAGAGAAAAACTTGATATAAAAACCTAGACGGATTTCAACCGAAAAAATATGAAACTGAAAACGAACAGAAACTATCCTAAGATGATTTTTTTCGAAAAATTTCAAAACACGAAAAGTGTGCAGAATAATGTTTTACTTCAGTTTACATGAAACCAGTAAAAATGAGCTCGTTTCGTGGGTTAAAACAGCCTATAAAATCTGCATTACCAAAATGAATCAAATTGACAATAACCAAGGTCATCCGATTATAAGTTCTAATCGATCTTTTTAATAAAAAGTTACAACACAAAAGTTGTCTAGAGTCACGTATACATGCTTCTGCTCGAATTTCATAATTTATCAAGATCGTTTACTATTTTTTTTTATCATGTACATAACAATACCATACACAGTATACTAATAAATTCATAATTAAATTCTTTGTTCCTTAACTCCACCACTTTGGCTCTCCCCTTCCGGCCTACACATATATCTCATGTGCCTCCCGTATACCTAACACCGCTCCGAAGCCAAACTTGCAGGAGGATATCGTCCCGAGTTTGACTCACACTCCCCGGATGGTTAGCATATACGTACGCGCGCAAATCAAAGCACTCGTCTACTCATGAGAACGAGGCAACAATATATATATACACAACATCTCACACATGAGAATAAACCTAACAGTGCCGAGCCTAAGGCATTCAAATAAATCTCATAATCCTTACTTTTTTTTATACACTCTTTCTCACCATCACTCAAATAAAACAACAATAAGGAATTTATCTATGGGTTCCTAATTAATTTTAAATTTCATATAACCATGAGTGTGATTACAACAATAAAATAAATCCATATAAAAATTCTAAATTTGACATACCCAACTAATCAAAATACTTAAATTCAAGCAATAAAAATCCTAAACCTTACATACACAACTAAACAAAATAATTAAAATCAGTCAATTATCTAAGAACCCTAAGCTTTACATACACCACTAGTCAAAATAATTAAAATTAATCTATTATCTT